CGTAGATGCCACCATACAATTATAGTGGGAGCTAGATACGTGGGCTGGTGATGCTTATATGTGTCTGTATCATACATATACACAGATGGAAGATGTCTACGGCAAACCACCCCCGCTTCCTGTCTCTTGTAAGTGGCAACGTGGAGAAAATGTTGAGCTGAGCCGTGCCAACATATTGGATTGCGTGTTTCCCGAGCCGTTGTGGAAGCCTTTGGGGAAATATGTGGGGGAGGAAGAAGGAGGAGGAGAAGGAGGGAGAAGGAGAAGTAGGAGGAGGCGGAAGAGGAGGCATCCTGAAGGCTTCTCAAAGGCATCTGATTGGAGCCTCCTGAGGGCGTTCTCAGAACCTCTTGGGGGCCTCTTGGAGACCTTTTGGGGTCTCTTGAGGAGGGGAAGGAGGGGTGGGGGGGGGCAAGAGCCTATAAAGGGCCATTCGGTATTCGGAGGCCGTCTTTGAGGCCGCACTGAGCCGTCTTGAGGCCCTCTTGGTACGGTGCCTGGCCGTCGTCAGGATGGAGGGGGACAAGCATGGAGGAGGAGGAGGAGGAGGAGGAGGAGGAGAAGGAGGAGGAGGAGAAAGAGGAGTGATACAGCCCTGCAGGTGTGATAGCTTCGCGACGCGAGGAGGTATGGATCCGGTCCTCGCCCCCGCTGAAGGTCGAAGGGGGAGGGGGCCATCCAACTCCCCCGCCGAAACGCGATCTGGGTAGAAGAGGATGGAGCAGGAGGAGGATAAGGAAGAGGAGGAGGATGGAGGAGGAGGAGGAGGAGGAGGAGGAGGAGGAGGAGGAGGAGGGTGGGAAGAGGAGGGGAAGGAGGAGGATACGTTTGTTGGCAGGCATGGTGAGCGAACACATACGTACGTGCCTCCACCTACGCTTCCAGGATGGAGGGGAGGATGGAAGAGGAGGGTGAGGAAGAGTACAATGGAGAAGGATGGAGGAAAATGGAGGAGGAGGAGGAGGAGGAGAAAGAGGAGGATAGAGGAGACGGAGGAGGAGTAGGATGTAAGGGGAAGGACGGAGGAACATGGAGGAGGAGGGAGGGGGAAAATGGAGGAGGACGGAGGGTGGGAAAGAGGAGGAGGGAGGGAGAGGGTGGGGAAGGATGGAGGGGCAAGTTCGAGGAGCATGGAGGAGGATGGAGAAGAAGGATGGAGAAAGAGGAGGGTGGAGGAAGGGGAGGGAGAAGGATGGAGGGGGAGAATGAATGAGGATGGAGGAGAAGAAGGATGGACGAAGATGATGGAGGAGGAAGACGGAGGAGGAGGAGGAGGAGGAGGAGGAAGACTGCGGAGGTGGAGGAGGCGGAGGAGTGTGAGAAGGAAGACCTGTAGGAGGAGGATGAGGGGAGGAGGAGGAGGAGGTCCGGTCCACCCCCCCCCGGCTACCCCCCCTCACCCCCCCAGCCCGCAGGAGGAAGCAGAGCGCGGGAAGCCCCCGCCGCCGCCGCCCTCGGGGCCGAACCCAGTGGTGTGGATGGACCTGTCGGTGGCGGGCAAGGCCGGCCGCCCTCCCACCGCTCCCCGGGAGATGGGACTGCTCAGCTGGAGTCCTCCCTCCTCCTCCTCCTCCTCCCCACCCTGCTCCTCCTTCTCCTACTCCTCCCCCCCCCTCCTGCCTCCTCTCCTCTGCCTCATCCTCTCCTCCTTCCGCCTCCTCCTCCTCCTCATCTGGAGGAGGAAATTATGTAATATTAAGGAACAGCGCAGCCCGGGGACGGCGGGCCAGCCCCGTAGGGGAGACGCCTCCGCCTCCCTCCATCCTCCTCCCCCTCTCCCCCCCTTCCTCACTCCTCTCGTCCTCCTCCTCTCCTCCCCCTCTCCTCCTACTCTTCCGTCCCCCTCTCCTCCTCTTCCTTTCTTCTCCTCTCCTCCTCCTCCTCCTCCTTCTCCTCCTCCTCCTCTCCTTCTCCTCTCCTCCTCCTCCTCCTCCTCCTCCTCCTCCTCCTCCTCCTCCTCCTCCCAGTCGTCGTGAGGAGCTCAGGAGGTCTTCCGACCGAGCCACGCTCACAAAACGCACCTCCGACCGGTCCGGGGCCCACAGAAAACTTCCCGCGGCCAGGGGGGGAGAGGGCCAGGAGGTGGATCCGTAACCGAACACATCGTCCGCGTGCTGTACTGGCCGTTTCCCCACTCGCTCATGTCGTTCATTGTGCCGCCGTCTTTCGAAGAATGTGCGACCTATGATTGTAAGGCCGAGCTGAGGGGAGAGATCGCCGGGAAGACATCGAACATGAGGAGGAGATGGGCAGGGATGCGGAGGTGTTCAAAAGATGAGAGATTGCTACACGTTGAATCAGATACCATAACATACCGCGTTTACACAGACTTGTTGCCCTGCAAATGGAAGCATCAAACGCCAAGAGAGACGCGAGACGCCATGTTTTTTCTCGCGCGAGCAGTTTCCAGCGCCTGCAGACGAGGTGGGGGAGTGGAGGGGCGGGTCGGCGTTCGTGAGGTCTCGCGTCGACCGGCCGCCTCGGGGAGGGGGCATCGCGAGAGCTGACCTCGCCAGCCCCTCCCCCCCCCGTTCGTCGCCAATTCGGGACGAGCGCTTCGCCCCTCGCGGGGGGCCACCCTGCCAGCCTGACCCCGAGTGGGGCGGGCGAGAGGGCGGGACTGAGGATGCTGGACGTTCGATGGGGAAGCGAATATGGGGGAGGATTGGAGAGGGAGATCAAGGATGGCAGGGGGAGGATGGACGAGGGGGAGTGTAGAGGATCGTGGGGGACGGAGGAGCTTGACGAGGGGCAGGGGGGATCGAGCATCAAGGGTTTCGGTAGTTGCTTGCCTTTTTAAGGGGCTCCAGAAAATGTCCGGTCACCACGGCTGGATCGCAGCCGTGTAATAAGACGAAAATGCGCGGTGCTAAGGCGAGAGCAACATTTTCCCTCCAACCGCGTAGGTGATAGAAAGTGGTAAGACGCACGTGCCCGGCGCTGAGGCGAAAACCACAGTTTGAAATCAGCCCACCTCCATCCGTGCAACTGCTGGAACGAAACGTTTAAGACGAATGTGCTTTGCGCAAGGCGAAAGCCACATTTGAAAACACCACAACCTCATCTGTGTACATTATGGAAAAAGGTGTGCGACAAATGTGTGCGGTATTAAAGCGAGAGCCACATCTTGACCCCCTCTCCATTTGCGCAGATGATGCAGGCTGGTACAACGAATTTGCGCGGCGTTGAAATAAGGCCACAAATATTCTAAATACCACCATCCCTGCTTCCGTGTAACTGTGTGAAGCGTTTAAGGCGACCGTTTGCGGAGTTGAGGCGAGAGTGACATGTTTAATCCGACATCCTTTATCCGTGATGCTGTTGGGAAGGCTACGCTTCGGTGTCATACACATGGAGAAGATATTAAGCGAAACGCCTAGTGGTGGCCAGGCGGGGCGGAGATCTACAAGGAAGATTCATTGAGGAGGAGCCCAGGGGCATCCTAGTATGCCCTAGGCCCAGGAGACCCGAGAAAGCCCCAGGACGACAGCCCTGGGGGGACCCAGAAAGCCACAGGGAGCGCCTGGAGACAATAGGGGAGGCCCACGAGGCCCCAGGAAACCCAAGAGAGCCCATCGCGTCCAGTACGTACTCAAAGCAAGTGTGACGTTTCGCTCCTTCTCTGCGGACGAGCACCGTTTGACCAGGTAGATGGGGCTCTGGCATGGGGAAGATGTGCCAGGCCTGCCAAGAGCCTAAACAGGAGGGCATCGAAGAGTTGAGGCTGGGTCTGGGGAAGCCGTCCGCATCACAAGAAATACAAGAATGCGATTGGGGTGCACGTGGGATGGTACACGGCTGTGTCAGCACTGGGTGTTTGTGTGTGTGTGTTTGGGGGCAGGATGTTTCACGTTGGTGACATAGTTCTGGAGCGCGGAGGACACGTCGGCATTGTGAGCAGAGAATCTGGGAA